AACGATGAGCCACGAGTCCGCTGACAGGGAGAAAGGAATTGGATTGTGTACAAGAGGCCCAGTGAGACCGGACATGTTTTAGAAAATACTGAGAATCAAGTACAGCTTTTATAAAGCATGTGTGTGTGAGAGAGAGCTGAGATACAGATGCCTGATAGTGAAGGAGACAGAAAATGGGCCCTGTGCTATTTCTTCTGCACTTTGTTTATCCCATCTGGGCTGATACATGTGGATGAAGGAGGCGCACGTGAAAGCAGGTAAAACAACCACACTGTTCCTCCCATTTCAATCTTTGCTTTCACTTACAGATAATGGAATTACACATCAAAGAAGCCTCTCTGTGTATCCAATTCTTCTGTGACCTCTACAAGCCTTTGTTCATATTCACCACAACAACTCCCCGACCCTCTGCGTCCGCCTGCAGCCTTCTCCTTGCTCACTTTATATCTCTGTCAAGGGAGAGATTAAATTTTGATGAAAATGAAATATTCATTTCCACTAAGCAACTGATGGCCATCTTAATTTGATAAAACTTTTGATGCGACATCCTCATTGTTCTTTTTCATCACCAAACGCATCCTCTTCCCCACTCTTCTGACCCAGCTACAACACTCTCCTTTGGGTAATTCTCTATACAAGCACCTCTGTTTTGAATCCGGCTTTGTTGAGATGTAGGATTCTAAAGTACCATTACAGCTTGTTGCATGCTGCTGAAATGTGTCTAAATCATTTCAGATGAAACATTTGCACAGACCCCGTCGATGAGGATCTCGGGAGGATGTGAGTGGAGAGTGTGCCGCTTGCAGCTCCCTGCAGACGAGTGAAACACATGAAAACTTCTCACAGCCTTCTCCTGCTGCTTGTGAGGGGATAACAACAAGCCACTGAAGTGCCTCCGTGTGTCTGAAGATTTCAACTAAAAGAGGTGACCACAAACCCGATTTATCCTGCTGAAGCTTGCGAGCAGCTCATGCTGCACAATGCGGCTTCAAGTGCTTGCACATTTGTCAGCTCGCATTGAAACTTTGAGGCTGTTTCAAAGACAATAATAAAAGCTGGGAATGTTGCCTTCTCAAAGCATTTTTGGAAAAACTAAATGAAAAATGTATGCATGCAGGAGTTGTAGGGGAGTAGCGAAGAGTGGGGATAATGAAATAAACGTAAAATCATGAGGGAGATTGGTTATGTGGCACTGATTAAGTGACTTAAGTATAAAATAGATAAAGTAATTTATTATTCAATAAATCCCTGTCATGCAGTTACTAGCCTCATATACAGAAAAATGACAACAAATGATAAATTAGTCTCATCACTGTACTGATAAAGAAACTGCACATAATATGTGATTATCTTTGCATATTCTATTGATAGACACATTGGGAAAAATAAATGAGGAATATGTCAGCATTTCTGTCTATAAACACATTTTTAATGAACGTATCACTATATTTCAGCAACAATCAAAGTAATCCACATGTGCAAAAAGGCGAAACAACAAAACAAATCAAGTTATACATAATAAAGTTCTGAATACATATAGAAAATAAAACGCAAGAAGAGAAAGAAGCCAACAAAATAGCTGAAGTCTATCAGTATTGAAAACTAATTGGCCCTTCACATTCTGTCCTTACCAATGCAAATGAATTCCTTATATATCGCAGCCAATAGAAAAGATTCTTTTTACCAAGGTATCAAACAACAATCAACCAATGGTTTGTGAAAAGGAAAGCACTTGTATTGCTGCAAAAAATACTATTGGGAATGGTTACAGACGGCTCTCAAAACTTCCGAGTGTTCCAGTTAGCACTAATAGTGCCGAGGTCATTATTCCTTTGGCCTCAGGAGCCAAAAGAATATAAAATTACTGTTCATGTGTTTAGGACCACTCCAAAGACAATTTAACTTAACAGGTCCAATTTTTCAATTAAGTAATTTACTTCACTCCTCTGGCACATCTTTTATACAAAACTCCACCATTGAAGAAAAAGCATGTTGACGCTAATTTAAATCTCCTTAGCAAAAAATTACAAACAAGCCAGAGAAATACTACAATAATAAGATAAGAGTGCACAAGAACAATTAGGGGGAGAAAACAAAATTGCATTACCCTCCACTTACCTTCTGTTATATCGAAGCAATAAGGAAAACATCTGGAATTTTTTATGACAAATAAAAAGCTCTTCTGTTGATAAATGTCAGTAGCTGTTCCATATCATTCACATTTTATTACAAATGATTTATGGATTTGTAATAAATGCTTAAATGTCTGTGTGGATTACTTGACTTGTAATTAAAATGTCTAAAGGCTTGAAAGACAAATATTTCCCAAGAAAAAAGAATTGTTCAATAAATAATTTTTAACTTAAACTTATAATAATGTTATTTTTACATAAGTATGTATCTGAATTAATATGGAGGCTAGAAATAATGAGTGCATGACATTTCTCAACAGATTATAGAATGTGGTTATGGACAAAGACAAAACAACTCCATTATTAGTGTCCTTTTATCTCTCCAAGCATGAAAATTATCTAAAAATATTATTTGTGAAGGGAAAAATATCTCCCCTGCTTCCGTGATCACTTTTCGTCCTTCTTACAGAAAACGCTCCATGCTCTGCTTAAACGGCTCCTTTGTGAGATAGGAGGCTGCAAAACATGTCAGGAAGGAGGAAAAAAAAGAATTGCAAAGGGTAAGCAGAGGGAAACTAAAGAGAAACACAGCATGTGAGAGGACAAATACAGTAGAAATGATCTTTTATTTCCTCCAACAGATAGAAGCTGCTGAATGATACAGAGCAACCATCTGGCATCAACTCGGAGCAATGCACTGTAAAAGCACTAAAATCAATGGCAACAACTCCACCTTGGATGCCCACCATTACCCAGATGGTGTACTTGGAGAACTGCAGGCCACCTAACTCAGAGCAGACACGGCACAGACACACTACCGCCCACCTCGATGAATTTCACTGGTTCGCTGGGATTGGTAACCAGTGCTGAGGAGCAACATTAGCCACACTGTGCTGACTATGAGAGACCCCTCTGTTGGCCTCAGCAAAGTGAGTGAGAGACAAAGAGTGCCCAAACAAACTACAAATCTGAAAAAAAGAACAGGAAAAGTAGCCGACTAACATCTCCTTCAGAATTTCGCTAAGCTATAAATAATCGGTGCACTTAAAGAACAAACTTTTACTGTAAGCAATATTACATATGCATTTTGCATGATATATCCACACATTTAGCTTATGTGGGAGTAGTTTTTAAAGAGAATATGATAATCTTGCATTATTTTTATATAGGAAAAAAAAATTAACACAACCACTTCCTTTAAAAAGATAACGTCAAAAGATACATATTGTGATTATTATTTTCTTCTCTTTGGTTATTAAGGTGAAGAGACCTTCTCATGCATCTCTCACCCCTTGGCACACAGAGACATTTACCGCTTCTGCAACACAAGTAATGACAGATCCTATAAAAAGCAATGGTGCGATTGTAGCACATTTCTGGGTAAATTTGTCTTTGCACCTTGACATTTTTTGAAAACAAAGCCTGTCAAATCTATTTTGGGTCTTCATTTCAGCTGCTGCCACTTGAAAAAAAGATCATAGAAGGAAAAGAAAATAACCCTTGACCCAAACAATTTAAGTTCAGATAGGTAATGAGAAAACTTTTGAATTTGTGCAGTTTCTGAGACGTCAATATATTCTGAACACAGTGATGTGAAAAATTACAGCTGCGCTGGGCCTCCCTTAAAAGCTGGATGATGTCTCGTTTTGCACATCACTGCAAACAAGTTACATTTCATGTTTTTCATTTATCTCGATGTAAATGCTAGAAATATTTTAACAGTAAAGATAAGCAACATTCTTGACTCACTGTCCAACATCTATTTATCTTTAATGCGCACCTCACATATATATTGGACACTCGAGAAACTTGCAGAGACATGACTATTTACAATAACATCGTTGATGATCTGATGTACCAAACAGAGACAATTTCCAGCTCTGAGAATAGAAGATATACAGTGCACCAATAAATCCATTTTAAGCCATCTGGAAGAAGAAAAAGCCCAGTTCCTTTTAAGTTGCTCTTACCCAATGACTATACTCTGGCTGTAGTAGTCATTTTAATGAGGGCTACTGCCATTTTTGAGTAATTGTCCTTACATCATTTCACTAAATGTAAAACACTATACCCCTTGTGGCAAATACACACACACACACACACACACACACACACACATACATATATAAGAGAAACATATTGATCTTCATTCTGTCCCTGTCTCTTAGTCGCACACAATATTTTATCACATGGCCAGTCTGCGAAAAACAATTCTCACATTGTTTCCTGACTGAGTGATCTGAGAAAGAAAGCTAATGAAACTTGGCTTCATCATATATATTTTTTTTCTCAATGGTGAGATATAACTGATGGGGACAACTTTTACTTAGTGTTTGCCAATACTTTTTATGCATTTGAATTTTGTGCAAGTATTTAATTAAATAAAAATTTCAAAAATGCTTCCTTCTATTTGGGCTTGCATGAAGAATCAATGTTTTAAACTTTAGAAGGGTGCTATTTTTTCCTGTTTTTAAGTATCTTTCAAATACAGAAATGCATCCTTAAAACACATTTCCAGGAGGCAATGTGAATATAGCCGGTGACTCAAAACGCTGCTCGTAGAAAATGGAACACAAAAGGCAGAGTGCATAGAGGTCACACAAGCCCACAGTGTTTACTTGCGCGGGACCTAAGTGCAGAAGGCATTCACAATTTACTCCTAAAATGTTACTTATCGGCACTCTTATTGAGATTATTTCTAAATATTTACAAGACCTTAAGAGTTTGGTAAGAGGTCCCACGTTTCCAACAATAACTAACTGTGACTCGCACGTAAATGTGATGATCTGGGAGCAACTTCCAAGGTTACAATCCAAACCTGAGTGAGTGCTCGCATGAGTGGATACAGCAAATATGTTTCCAACTTACCAATTCGTATAACGTGAGGCATCCCGCAAGAGTACTGAATCCAAAAGAGGAATGCAATCAGCGAAGTCCAATATTCCCAAATCGCACTCCGGGGATTCAGCCAAGTATTTCGCATGGTTGCAAAGTCGTTGGATCCACTTTTTTCTCTCTAAAAATTCCAAAGATGAGTCAGAATTGCTCATGAAAACTGAATTCTACAGAGCATGTGTGGATTTGGGTAAAATGCGACAACTCTGCACTCATTGTTCTTGGTGCAACATTATCCTCGGGTTTCTTTTCGTTTTTCTTCTCACCAGTCTTAGAAAGAAAGATGAGGATAAGCCCCCCTCCGTCCCTCGCAGGCGGATCAGCGAAAACACCTGCTTCTGCAGGCTGCAAACAATTACCCCGCAGGAGTCTCTCTGTATACCCTCCTGCACACGGTGCTGTCTGTCTACACGCAGAAAAGCCGAGCCGAACTCCTGCGCTTCGCTGCGCCAATGTGGACGACTAGAACTGCGCCTGCGGAAGTTTGGCTCTCCTCGAATGATTTTGTCTTCGTCAGCTTGCACTGAGATTGTTGAGAAATTTCAACATACTTCGGTGACTCAGAAATGCTTCTCGTAGTTTAGTCACTCCAGTCCTGATCGCTTCACTTCAGCAAACTGCTCAGAACGCAGGGAAAGAAAACCCGCTCCGGTCCGGTTGCGCACCATCATTTGCAATAGGGAGGTCACTGAGGAAGGTCCGTCTGTTCAAAGAGATTCTTGCTACATCACTTTGAATTAACGAACGTTTCACTATGTGTAAGTTTGGGATATAATGTGGCCAGCCGTGTATCTGCGTGCGTCTGACGACCCTGCTTCCACGGTGCCACTAGAGGCACGCGTCGTTACGCATTGCTGTCAACTATGTCCAAGTGTTGGAGATGAGAGGGATCCGAATCACCACCCGGTCCTCTACTTTTGTTTCAGTCCATACGTTATTTCTTGTCCTTAACGTGTTTTTTTTATTATTATTTTTTTTTATTGTTTTGTTAATTGGCTTCTCTGACCTTAAACACGGAAAACAAAAGCAAATGTTTACTTGATTTGTGTTTTCAAATTAAAATAGTACATAGACATCTGTTCCTTTTTTTGTATTTGGCTGTTAAAAGTTGGGTGTTAAAATTAGGTTAAACGTTTATTTACTTAAAACAAGAAAATATAATATAGCGTAACATATATGGCGAAGAAAAACAAAAACGACCTGAATATAGTGAAGTCATGTTGTATCAGACATGGTATTATATGACCTTTCTGAGACAAATAGAGGGATGGTTATTCTTTGCACTTCAAAAGTGGTGCCCCACATCATTTTTTGTCACAAAAGGAATGTTTAGTTCAGTCGTAGGTAAGTCACACTTCCATGAAGAAAACAAAACAAACCTACTCATCCCTACTGCGCATGGGCAGTGATGTCACGGGGGAATTAAAGCTTTGCTAGCCTATGTTGAGAAGTTATAGAAGTATGACAAAGTAGATTTTTTTGGTTTATTGAAATGAATGCAACAATAAAACAACGTGGTTGTTTGTTTTTCACTTCAGGTTTTTGGTGGGAAAGTCCAATAACTAAACTGTGTGGATCATGTTCATCATAGAAAGCAAGCAAAAGCAAAAAGTTGAACACTTTCCCCAAAGTATCCATGCAGCAGAGATACTTCTGGAAAATAGGTTTAAAGCTGAGTGTCAGGCAAAAAAAAAAAAAAAAGACCAAAGAATCCCCGGCATTATTAATCACTCTGTTGGTGTGTGTGGTGGCATGGATGCCCTGCAGCGTCTTTCTGGTTGTCCTGTTGTCCATTTTTTCATCACTGCAAAGAGTCATCAAAAACAAACTGCAAAATGTTGGCTTCCAGGACTGCGTCCAGAAACTTCTGATTGAGGTGGCCAGATAGGGGCCACAAATAATCTTGGAGAAGACCCACCACAAACAAATGGCGTGAAAGAATTTAAGGAGTTTTATTCAGCCATATTGCTATGGAACAGCTTAAAGGTTTGAATATATAATATATAATTTTTATTTCAGTCATAGAAACAGTTTGCAACTTTGCAAGCATAACTTTGCTAAATGTATAGCATTCTAAAGAAAATATTACAAATCCTGTCATTAATCAATCAAATAAGAAAATGATTTGCTTTGAAAAAGAAATAACTAAATTGTAAAGTAAGTTCACACATCAGAAATAACCAGCAGACACATATCTATCTATCTATCTATCTATCTATCTATCTATCTATCTATCTATCTATCTATCTATCTATCTATCTATCTATCTATCTATCTATCTATCTATCTATCTATCTATCTATCTATCTATCTATCTATCTATCTATCTATCTATCTATCTATCTATCTAGATAGGTCGATAGATCTAGAGATAGATAGATAGGAGATAGATAGATAGATAGATAGATAGATAGATAGATAGATAGATAGATAGATAGATAGATAGATAGATAGATAGATAGATAGATAGATAGATAGATAGATAGATAGATAGATAGATAGATAGATAGATAGATAGATATTAAACTCCCTCACTACAACATATATCACAAAAGATTTTTGCATAAATTAGCAAACATTTAAGGAAAGAATAAACAATGTTACATATTTTGGAGCTTAATATAAGCCACTTGATGAGACAGTGCTGCAGCTCATTGGCTTAATTTTTCCTGTTGTGAATAGAGGAAAGGAATAAACTGTTCATCAGGGGACACGCGAGCAAGAACAAGCCAGGCTGACTGCCACTGCATATTCATGTCTTACAGAGCAGATTTATCGCCTCTTGGCACAATGTAAGGACTATCAACGTGAGTTATGTGGCCTGGCTCTCGCATTATGGAGATTCATTGACTTGCTGCTCTTTCAAATACAAAATGTACACAGGCCAACCAAACAAGACATTCTGGGTCTGTGGGTGCCCTCTATAGAGAGATCTTGGTCTGTGCTCTCAATCACCTCAGCTGGAAACTGGATTTCAAATTTGAGGAATACCCCGCTGAAAAAATATTGACCATAAAATTAAGGAACTCTGTTAAGTTCCTGAATATGAATTGTTGAATTGCATTGGAAGTTTTTGAATGTTCGGTCTCTGCTGGAAATACATTTTAATTCCCATAACATTCAGTGTTGTCGATGAAAGAATAGGCCATCATGTGTTTTGATTTCTTTACCATTACGAGAAAAAAATAGTGATAGAGTATGGCAGTGTTAGTGCAATAGTAGTGGAGTTATTTCTGGAGTCTCAGTGTATGAAATGTACACTCTGAGACTTAGCTTCTAAGTTTAATTTGCTTAAAGCCTTTTACATGTTTATGTTTTTCATACCTTATCTGTTTACTAATTATTGACAAGAGAACTTTAATATTGTGGTCATTGATATGTATTATTTTATTTGAGATTTTGTCCAACACACATTCCCTTACATTTTCTGAAAACAAATATTTTGTCTCCTGATTTAGTTTTCCTTTGTCAATTGATTTAATTGATTTGCAAGATTCTGCATTTAGTTTTATAGATTATTAAAAGTATTAAACAGTGATCAAATTAATTTGACAGTCTATGCATGGTATGGTCTCACCAGATTAAAAATCTGTTAATCTGATGGCACTTTTTAAAATTTAATTGTTCCTGTGACAATGACAATAAAGACTTTTATCTTTATCTATCTAATTTCTTTGTCTTTTTTCCAATTATTTCAGAGAGTCTGTGACTTTATTCTCCTCAGAGTTTGTTGGGTACCAATAATTCAGTACTTACCTCCCATCACCTCCAGATGTAAAGGTAGTGGAGGAGTATAAAAACTTCTGTGTTCTTCTGGACCAGACTAAAGATGCCACCTGAAAGAAGGGACAGAGCATTCTGTACTTCTTGAGGAAGTTCCTTCTACGGTTGCCACAATTTAATTCCAGGCTTGATTCCTCAAATTCTGTTTCAAATTATAACTTGTATATTTTTGTGTCTTTCTCGCGTGATGTTCATGCCGATAAAAACATTGAAGTACATATTGTAATGTATATGCATGCAATATAAGTAATTAGAAATTAATTCCTTTTTTACTATAATTTTCTTTCTTATGTGAAATTGGGGAAGATGCGGGACCTGTGATATTAGGACCATAATGTATGGAGGTTTATCCAGACCTGCATTCAATGGTAAATTTACTGTCGTATCACGAATAATGTATCTTACACTGATACAGACCCAGCCAATATGAGCTTTTCTCGTAAAATGATGCAATGTTGTGTAAATCAGATGCAAATTAGAACCATTGGCATGTCCCCCAGCTAAATCACCACCGCTTTCTCCCATGATTCGTTAACAGCAGTTTCCAACACAAAGAAAGATGATCGCCTAAGCATGTAAACATCTATTAATTGCAGGGCAATCTGTTAATTCCTGACATCTGCAGGCCTGGAAAACTGGTCTTTCATCCTGGAGAAAATCTGAAAGACAATCCTGAGCACCCCCAGCTGAAGCTGTTTCAAAACAACACAGCCTCTTCAATGAGAAGCGTCATTACTTTGATGTAATACAGATTGCTACTGGAGTTGCAGTTATTTTCCCTTTGGGATTAATAGATGATTGTTAATTTAAGTAATTCACTGAATTTATTAAGAGCATCTTTGTGTATGTTTCCTATCTTCTAGCAAAATAGTGACATTTTCTAAGATGTGAGGTTTAAAGACGGAGATTTAGCAAATGGTTAAAATAACTTTTATCCTAAGTTGCTCTATTTCTGCCTCTGCACTGTTGTTGTTCCAAATGGTTGACTCCATGGCAGTTATAAGGTCCACAACTGATATTTCATGTGGAGAGAAGGCAAAATTGAGTCTATTGGCTGAAAGTGGCTCCTAAATGCTGTGTGAGCTTCACGAGACTCATTCCTTACTCAATGGTTTCGATTACCAGGCTGGAAGTCACAACATTGGGTTTTCTGGTAGATCCTGAAGTTTCAGAAGTACAAATGACTTTATGATAAAATTTGAGAAGTGTGCATCGCTGTCAGTTAGCTTACCCCCTTCTTTAGCCAATTTTATCAAAACAAAAAGGGAAGAACTTAAGATCCATTTCCAATTATAATTTAAAATAAGGTTCACACACAAATAAATTGTATTGATCTTAAAGCACTCTCCTTTCCACCAAGTTGCCATTGATATTAAATTTTATAATGGCAGTGACAGAAAAGTGCTTCATAAGACGTCATACTAATGATAAGAATCCTGAGAACCTAACGTAGTTTCAGGAAAGTTAAACTACAAATCGAGACTACATGGAGTAAACCAAATAGTTTTTAATCTTCATGTGAAAAAGGTTTACCATTAATCATCCTTTATTTGAGTCCTTTGAATGCTCTTATAAAGTGTTGTAGTGTAACGTTTGACGAAAAAGTCGACGCAAGCAAAGACAAATGTTAAAATGATCAATTGAAGTTTAAAATGTGTTACACAGTGTACACATTCAAATAGAGGATGATATTTGTTTAGCACTGATGAAACATAATAAAACAGAAAGAAAAAAATATCTATATTTAAACCAGAACTAATCATGTATGCACAATGATCCCTCAGTCTTATGACAGAATAAAAACTGCACTGCCCAGCCACTTGTGTTTGAAGCTACTAAGCAGACAATATTCTTCAGCAAACAAATTTCTACAATTTGTTTGAACAGACTTCCCTTTGAGGTCTGAAAGAAGGGGAAGTATTTTATCAAGAGTTGTGGTTATTTGATGCGACTGTTCAAACTGTTCAAAGCCTGGACTGATGCGAAAAGCAAGAAGCGGAAAAATGATGGTA